CTAACAGGCCCCCAAGGGAAAGGCCAAGCTGATAGCTGCGGGGGGTGTGCGCCTTTTGGCTTTGTTCCTTGTTTTTTTCCCTCCAGCCACTTTCCCAATGATAGCAACAGCAACTGGGAGCTGAATAGAAAGTGTCCTGGTTGTGGCTGGGATAGAGTTTTCCTCCCAGTAGCTGCTGTGTTTTGGATTCAGCATGAGGAGAATGCTGATAACACTGATGTTTTCAGTTGTTGCTGTGAAATCAAGGACTTTCTTCCAGTCCCCCACATTCAGCTAACGAGCAGGTGTGCAGGAGCTGGGAGGGAGCGCAGCCAGGCAGCCAGCCCAAGCTGGCCAACAGAAATATTCCATACCATGGACGTCAAGCTCAGTTTATAAATGGGGGTCGGCAGGGGGGGCAGGATGCTCTCTTTCTCTTTTCCGTGAGTTCAAACCCTCTCTTGGCTGGGAGTTTGAATTTTTCTGAAAGTTCGGTCTTTGTCGGTAGTTTTGTGAAATTCACGAAATCCACAATTTCTGGGCTCTGCGATTGCTGCTCAGGGATTGGCTGCAAATCAGTCGGTGGTGGTGAGAAAGTTGTACTGTATATAGTTTGTTTTGCATATTCATTATTATCATTATTAGTAGTCGTATTTTCTTTGTTGTCTTCTCAAACTGTATTTATCTCAACCCACGAGCTTCCCCTTTTGTCCATTTCTCCTCCCCACCCTGCAGGGGGCAAGGGGAGGGGAGAGCGAGCGGCTGTCTGGTGCTTCATTGCCAGCTGTTGGGTTAAACTATGGCACTTCTGTGTGTTATTCTTTTTAAGGCCAGCTGGGCTGGCTTTAAGTCCCAGCTTGAGGCACTTCTGTGCAGCCCACGTGGAGATGAGGCTAAATCCATGAACAGGAATGTCCGATATCTAAACAGCGGTGTGCTCCTGAGGCAACGGTACAAGCAACAGGGCCTGGAAACGTTCACCTCACAGCCTTCAGTGAGCCACTTGTTTGCCCCAAGACCCCGGGCCCAGGCTCTTGCGACTCCCCACGCCTGTGAAATGTAGGCAAAAATGCCGTGGTGATGCTCAGTTACACCTTTGAATATCTCATTGCTTACATCCATCTCACGTGGGAGCCGCGGGGTTACCAGTCTAATTCAATAATACTTGTGAAGCAGCCCTTCATGGAAAAGTGAGACACCTGCTGCACCTGCAAACAGGGGTTTAGAACAGGGATTTTTGTACTTCTCCAAGTGTCAGAAATTACGCCACAGGCATGAGGTGTGCAGCTCAATGACCGGGTTAGAATGTGGCTTAAGTTGTAGTTCATGAGGGAAATAGAAGCTGTGGCAGGATGGGGGGGTCGGGGGGAAGAGGTGTTAAACTGCTTGTAAACAATTTTTCTCCTTACCTTGCAAATCTAGGCTCTGAAGCTGAAGTTTCCCAGCAAGTTTGCAGATCCTGTAATACAGCCTTTAGTAGAGTTTGCATGGCATGAATATTTACAGGAGAAAAAGAAGGTAACTCTCGTTTCCTCAGGTTTTTTTGGACATGACTCCTCTCCCTGGGGCTGCAGCCTCTTCCAGCTCGCTGCCGTCCGCAGGTTCCAGGAGTGAGCTTTTCCACCCCAATTTATTTAACGTCCTCAGAGACCCTTGAGGGGTCTGTTCAGTCTGAGCTGCCCCCCCAGTGACACCCAGCTGGCTCTTGTCACTATAATGTCCAGAAGCAGCAGAATCCGGCATGTAGCTGCGTGCAATGTCAGCACACCTCACCAAGAGCTGCTGCCCAGTCTCCTCCAGTTGGTGGGATTTGTGGTTTTAGAAGTAAGAAGAGCATAAAAATAACACAGGCCACCTTAGCAGCAGTGGATTGTTGCTGATTGCTTCCTCACGAAGTGTGTAAATAATCCCCGGAGGATTTGTTCTCGCTCTGAAATGCAGGAGCTGAGAGGTGAGGTGTGGGCGTACGCCTCCTCGGTGATGTGCTTCATTGACGGCCAGCTGCTGGGGGATGAGAAGGAGCTGCTCAAGTGGTCTCACCGCGAGTGGGACTATCGCGACTTCAAGCCTGAGGCACTTTACCAAGCGATTACTGAGGACTTCTACAGCAAATATCTGAAAAACAGCCAGGCAAGTAACACTGTTTGCCGAGAAGTGCACAAGGTCTGGAAGCGGCTGGAGAGGCTGTCAGATGGAAGGGCAGGTACCGGGGCAGGAAGGAGAGCGAGCACAGCGGTGGCAGTGCCTTGGTTTCTGCCCTGTGATGGCAGGGCCAGAGCTGGGGATGGAGAGGCTGGTGGGGAGCAGTGCCTGCCAAGGCCAAGGATGGCAGAGCCTCTGCACCTCTCAGCAGCCAGCAAGGGGCAAACACTGGCCCAGATGCCTGACATGAATTAACTGCCTCAGGGCTGAGCAGTCTGACCAAAGCGCGCTGCTGACCACGCTGCAGCTGTGCTGCTCCAAACTCCCAAACTGCCCAGCCCTTGGCGACCGAAATTCTTGGGTACCCTTACTCCTGGGTACCGAAAGCCCAGCTGCCAAACCTCTCCTTTCCCAGCCAAGACACCCTGAAATGCCATGGTGTCGTGAGGTGTGATGCGGCTGGCGCTGACAAGGGATTGAGAGCAGAGAAAAATGTCATACCAAAGTGAATGCCACTGAAGATGCACCATCAATTGCACGCAGGTTTGAGGCTGGCTGGGATAAGCGAGAAGTGTCCATTTTGGCAGGACGGCCAGTATTCCTGCAGATTCGTTTGTTCCTGCCTGTATTTTATGGGCTGCAATAGGCATGTAAATAAATGCAAGAAGCGGGCCCTGCGCAGTACTTTGTTTTTAACACACTGTTGGGATTATTTCTGCCCAGAATGAAGTGAAATGTCCTCTAGCTTTCTATTTATTTAAACAAAATAGTAGGAGTGCTGTTGTGCATTGACAACCCGCAGACAGGTTCTGAGACCGTTCGCGCCAGGCAGCTGGACCCTGGCCTGCAGCACGGAGAGCTGGCCTTTCCCTCACTGCATTTTTTTCTCTGCTTTAAACAGCACGTGTTTGTGTACCTGGAGATAGCCATTGAGGAACAGCCCGTCGGGAGGCTGCTCTTTGAGGTGCGTTACAGAGGAGGACAGCAAAGAACAAGTCCACTCAGCACGGTGGTCTCACCTGCCAAAGGAGGAGGGACAGAAATCTGGCCAGTGGACGTCAGCTAGGAATTTCACACGCTGTCAGCTATGAACTTCACACGTGTTTTCCTCTTCTCGCTTTTGCAGCTCTTTTCAGACCTGTGTCCCAGGACCTGTGAGAATTTCCGTGCCCTGTGCACTGGAGGAGCAAAGTCCCCCCGCGACGGCCGAGAACTCACCTACAAAAACTCCCTTTTTCATCGCCTCGTGAAAAACGGGTGGATCCAAGGAGGAGGTGCGTTTCCAGGTGTCCTGAGTAAATCCAGGTTACAGCAGAAGTGGGGGTGGGATGATCTTCATGAATAACAGCCTTCATCTGTGGAGACATAACTGAACTGCATGACAAAGCTAATCTCTTAATTAGTATATATATAAAAATCAGAAAACCTTTTCTAGCCATCTCACATTTGAAACACAGCAAAAGTCTGGATAATTTGCTGTTTTGATTATCCAAGACCCTTTGAAAAGAATTTAGGGAACTAATTGTAAACATTAAAACTCTTCCACGAAGTTCTTTGGTAAGTAATTAGGAAACTAATTGGAAACATGAAAACACTAAGAATATCCATAGAAAAACATGTTGTTTTATAGAGAGACTACCTGATGGAGGCATTTAGCCAAGTGCCAGAGCCCTTGCAAACGTGCTGGTGAGTTGTCTGAATGCCAGCACTCTGCCTGGAGTTTGGCACTGATGAGAAAGGCACCACGAACGATGGGTCGGTCACACAGCTTGCCTGACTGACATCCCCAGGGAAGTCGAGATAGTCAGGTGTAACAGAAGGCATTTGCCTCGTTACTCCCTTTCAGTCTATCATATATCTTACCTACCTGTATTTCTTACCTGTGTTTGCCTTGCTCCAAATGTGAGCGTCTAAATGCACTTCAAGTTTATACTTTGAAGATACACCTCCTACTTTTCTTGAATAACTACGCGGATATCTCTGTAGTCCATAAAAGCAACTTAAAATGACAGGCTTGCTACTGTAGAGGACCAGCCATAACCTGATGGTGTAAGACAATGTCTAAATAAAATAATAAAACCAGACTTCTTTAAAAAAAAATTAAAAATAGATGCATCAGGTTTGTGTAGTGCCTCACCCATCAGAAATCTGGTTCAACAGGAATTTCTCTCTTATCAGATCTCCTTTATTAGACAAGTTAGTGGTCTTAACTCACCATAGCATCACAGCTGCCTTTTCATCCTTCCTTCTTGTAACCCTCCTCCCTCCAACAGAGGCCCTTCTGCAGGGCAGCCCTTCCTCTGCTGTCCTCTCCCAGCAGGAGATGCTGGACCTTCTCAGAGGGGCAGCGACTAAACGCGCCGCGTGAAACAGTTCTCCATAGAGACACAGTCTCTTGGGGCAGGAGCAGAGCTCTCCAAAGGTCTGCTAAAATTTCAGTAGTGAAACAGAAAGGTGGATGCAGTTTTTACCCCCAGGATGATGCACAATCCGCGTCTCTGACCTCGGCTGAGCTGCTCACTGACAACCCCCAGCAATGCCTGCCACAAACCTGGTCTCTGACGGTTGCTCTTATCTACCCTGCAGACATCATCACTGGGAAGGGAGACGGAGGAGAGTCCATTTACGGTCCCACCTTTGAAGGTATGTTTCCTCAGCTTTCTTACTGCATGAATGGCAAATTTCCACAGAAATCAAGTTGTTGATCTGATCTTCACAGAATAAGCTGGGAATTTCCTTTCATCTTCCTAAAGCTGAAGGGTTTGCTTTTCAGTCAGAATTATTATCTGCTTATATTAGCATGAGCAGACTGCTTTAGTGAGGACGCTTTTTGATCTGTAACCGTGTCCCCCTCCGCTGATGTCTCCTGCCCGAGGCTGGACTCCACCAGCCCCTTCTCCCTGCCTAAATGAGGGCTGATGGTCACCCGATGCCTCCTTCAAACTGCAAGTATTCGCCTTTGCAGGCAGGGCCTTAGAAGTGCAGGAGTGGGTTAGCTACAGATCTCCAGGCACCCAATACCACCTGTTTAAATGCATTTAAAGTAATGGAACTCAGTCGGCTTTAACTCTACATTTCCTGGACCTCGGGCAGCTTTTCAGGCTTGGGGACACGGCAGGCATTGCTGCCAGCGGCTGTGTGACTCTGTGGATGTAAAGGGAGTTACTGCTGAATCTCACATAAAACCGTGAAAGCTGAGAAATGACAAACACGAGCTAAGTTTAACAAAAAATGTTCCCCCATACTGGTAGAAAGTAATAAAATGTAAAGAAAAAAGAACATTATAACTTGCAATATTTAAGAAAAACAGCCCACATAATTGACATAGACATTTGGGATCTTCTGTTTAGATTAAATGCTACCCATAAAGACGTTTTATGGCAGCTAAAGCACTTTTGGAACTGATTTATGTTCGTTTATATAAAAGCCTTCCCACTGCCAGTGGCGCAAACGATGTGACATACGAGCGGGCTGGGCCGCAGCCAACAGTGAGATCAGAAATGCCAAGTGTAGCTGAAAACTTTCTTCCCCAAGACGCCGAAGAACCTGCTCGCGAGGCGAAGCCATTCCCACCTCGAGGCCCTGGGACGGACGGAGCAAAACCCGGCCCGCGGCGCTGCCCGGCCGAGCCGCAGCACTGGTAGGGAGGGAGGCTGCTGGAAGCGGGAGCCTGGCGTGCAGGCTTTGAGGCCGTGAACGCTACGGGCTGCCTGGAGTGGGCAGGAAGGGGCAAAAGTCATTTCTTAGACGCTGGAGCTCCTGAAATAGCAGCAAGCCTAGGCTCTTGGGACGCACACATGATGGAGAGAACGTGAGCTGGTATTGGAAAAAAGTAGGACTGGCTTTAAATTGTTTGCAATTGTTGTGCGCCGCGTCTTGCTCCCAGCTCCATCCTCCTCCTCCAGGCAGAGCTTGTACTTTCCCTGTGCTACCCAGGAAAGGAGCTGCCGTGTCATGTGGGAAGGTGACAATGCGTCAAAAATCGCTTCGGTAATTTTGAGGTGGATTTAATTTGAAATCTGTCAACCTTGAAAGTGTCCCTGGAAGAGTTTTATTACCCGTACTGCACATACTCCATGAGTTGATCTATTAAAGGAGAGGATTGCTGCTTCTTCCCCTCCCCCTTTTTAATTAAAAGTTGCTTTTCATCCTTGAGAAAGGTGTTCCTTTGGGTATGCCTTTCTGTTTTCAGGCTTAGATTGCTTTCCCAGTACTTCCCGCCAAACTATTTTACACTGAGGGCAGGGGACAAATATCTGCGATATCTGAAAAGAGTAAGAGATGCCTCTGTCAGCCGGTAATGTTCCGGGAGACGCCACGCTTGGCACGCGTCCGGGCACTGCAACGCTTGCTGAAATTAATGGGATGCAACCGCATTTTACTGTAACGAGCTGAAAGGACTGAGGTAATTACAGAGAATCACTTGGGCTGGAGCGTCACGTCACAGGACAAGGCATCTGACTCCAAAATTAGTCTGCTGAAGTCATTTTGCTAACCACAAGGCAGAAATCAGGGAGTAACTGTTCAGTTAAGATTTAATTACCATTTTTATGAATCTGTTTCTGAGAAGGGCATTCAAACTGGGTAAAAAGAATTTTTTTAAAAAAAAACAACAGAGAACAATAAAATCTAAATATTTCTACAGTTTCCTTCAAGCTTGTTAAGAGCTCGGTGTGATCGGGTCAGAGATGGGTGACGGAGGAGGTCAGGATCAGTGGACTTGCTGCTCCCCACCTTGTAGCCGGGCTCCCCTCCATGGAGGAGAAAGAATCAAGTCCTTGCCATTGTCCCCCAAACCTAAGCATGCCTAATGCCTATCCTTCCCCAGTCATCCTTCTTGAGAGACACTTCTTCTCTCCCTCACCAGTCCCTCCTCAGCCAGCATGGAGGATCCTCCTCACCTCCTCGTGGCTCTCGCTCCCATCGCCTGCCCTCTCTCCTCACCCTGGAACAAAGCTTCTGCGCTTGGAGTACCCCGGCCTCCTTAACTAAGTTCCTGCTCTCCATTTATTCAGCCCTGTCGTTGTATTTGGCTAAAGAAGCCTCCTGCTCGCCCTCCCAGGTGAGGACAGCTCGGCCTGTCCTGCCCTGGCAGCCATGTCTGGGCTGAGGGGGGGTCTCGTCCCCTCCACCGCAGGCAGCGGCACGGGGGGAGTGGAGCAGAAGCTGTGCTTGGAGCACCCCCTCGGCCGCCCGCCCTCCTCATCCAAGCACTGGGAATAATCCCGAGTAACCACGGGGAAACGCTGTGCTAAGAGCCCCGAGCTCCCCCGGCGAGAGGTGTTACAGACTGACGGCAGGGAGCCGGAGGCATCGCTGCTGTGGCTCTGATGCTCAGAAATACCTGGAGTGCTTTTTTATGGGTATCTTTTCATCAGCTTCTTTACTGGCTTAAGGACTAGACAGCAGCGGGAAGCTCCTTCTGGGAAGGACATCAATTCACAGGACTCACATGAGACTCAGTGAGACCTCTGGGGCAAAAGGAGAAGGGGAAGAAGGAACGGGGAGCTTGCGGGAGCTGGCAGAAGGGACCCACACGGTGAATGGCAGCAGAGGCAGCAACAC